TCATAATACAGTCACTTTACAACATTCCACTAATGCCTAGCTGTGATGCTAGTAATATCACATTACCCATTCAGATGTATGCAAATGTCACACACTGTGGGTTTTCATAATAGTTCTCTGAAAAAATAAATAGTTTATTGCTACACTAGGGAAATTGTTGATATTCACACGATGTCTGATGATTGACAATACTTACATTGATATTGTTTTCATTCAACCAATCAAATCTACATTAGCTGAGCATGATATTACTAGCAACATATCTAGGCATTAGTGGTGAAGCATATGGCTAGTGGAACGCTACATAGATGCTAGCCTTGTTATTAGATTTAATTGTTACTAACATTACTTCAATTGGTTTATGTTGTGTTACATCCCAGCTGTGCAGTAGCTTTGGACTCCTGGTTATTCCCTCTGGAAAAAATGGTGGCATCCGAAATGAAACAACCAGCATTATTTATTAACACAGAGAAATTCCAGTGGCCAGGAAATATTGTCAGAATGAATAGATTCTGCCATGAAAATAATCAAACTGATAGGAAAATGATTACAATAAAGTAAGTTTAGTTTTGTTATTACAAGTGTGTAGACTATTACACTGGATTGTTGGTTGTCATGAACCAATTGCGTATTTTTGCGTATGCGTATAAAAATGTATTTGTAAAATAATATACTGTAACTTTAAAGGACGGTAGTCGTTGCACCACGCATGTACAACATTTGTGTTGATAAATATTGATTTTCCCACAATCCAATGCGCTCTTCTAATGGAAATCACAAGTATGAGGTTTGACCTGGGCGTGACTTGCACTAATTACCGCCGGCGACTCCTTCGATACCTTCCAATCACCTAAAAATACCCAATGAAAGCGTGGTAACGTCCCAGTGTGTACTCGTTGATCTGCAACAATCAAAGTCACCATCTTTGTTTTTATGAGGCCCATATATCTCGCGCATGCGTGACAAGGCGACTATCGCCCTTTAATAGGCAATACTGTTGGATGTGTTATTACCGGTAGTCCCCTTTCGGATGAAGACATGGACTTGACGTGTCTGTCTGTATCTGGTATCTCATAAATGCTTGGACCGATCAAGCACAAATGTCATACTTGTTTTGATTCACAACCTTAGATTTATGATATTTTGATTTGATACATACATACATCAGAAATAATATCAGACTTAAGTACATGATGTTTAATGATTAGACTCAAGATGGCCGAATGCAACCATTTTTAAGCCAAAAATCATAATATAATAGATACCTAAATTTGTACATAGTTGGATTTCTGTGTAGTTTATTTATTATGTATTTGTAAAGCATAATAAATTCTGGGGACCAACAATTTTGTACATCAGCCAACTAAATTTTTCAACTTTGTTGTTAATAGCCACTACAAAAAGTTACCTTATGAGCTGTATATTTGGGTGACTAATCTCTTATCTCATCTCTTATATTGTTCAACAGAGGCACTGTACATCAAAGTCAAGGGGACTTCCCATTTTTACTCAATTCAGTACTGGGACGAATAATCAAATGTCGAGGATCTTTAGATCCTCATGTTGCCATGACAATAAATAACAATGCATCATTAGCATTTCTCTATAAACATTTGGGTAAGTTAATTAAAGAATTTCATTTTTTTTTATTTGCTTAATTTATTCATATGCATTCCAAACTTAATATTACCCACAATGCTCTTTATTGTGCAAATAAGGACCACAGTGAAATGTGAACTTCAAAAGAATTTCACAATTCTCCTGACTCACGAAATTCATAAAAATGATTCTTGTGAAATTAAAATGCTTTACAGTTAAATGTAAATTTCAATGAATGCTATGTTTATTTGTTTTAATTTTTTTGTAATTTACCCTCAGGCATGGAATGCAACAGGAGTTATGAAGAAGTCCTTGCGGGACGAAATGAACATGTCATCATTGGAACAAATATCAAACTTGATCCGGAATATAAAAAGAAATCTGGGCTTTGATGGTGATGATCAATATATATCAATCCCTCTGGTGAAATGAAAAATGTGATCACTGTGACAAAGTATAACCAAATACAAGAACAATGTAAAATATATTAGATGTAAAAAGCTTTTTTTTATCTTCATGATCTGAAAATGACTTCTTTGTGACATTTGTATATACTTACGAATTACTCCTGGTCGATACTTTGTGGTATTTTCATAATAATTAATGGGACAAGATTTATAATTAATCCTTTCTCATATGTGATATGTTCTGACACATATAATTCGGGAAATGCAGTAACTACCGATTTTGATTCCTCTGAAAAATTTGCTACTTATGTTATAGCAGATAATACAATTTTAATATATGTTAATTTTAGAAACTAAATTGTACAAATCATCGCATTGTGTAGAGTTAGATCTATTTACAATTCAGGAGTTTCAGATGTTTAAAACTGTATTAACAAACTGATACAACTAATGTGGTTGGCAAGAAGTCGTTATTATAACAGATTAAACTATGATATATAAACTGAGCCATATATGAGCAACAACGCAAATGCAGCTATACAAGCTGCATTAATCCAATTTTTGTAACAATTTGAATGGATTCTATATTTTGTTTTTGTACATTTTGATAACTTTTTTAAATACAAACCAATGTTGTATAACAAAAACAACAAGTGTGACCACGGCGACAGAAATATTGCGCCCTGCAGAAAATAATAAATATCTATAATTTTTGATCGAAACGTAGTTAAATTGAATTATACATACGGGAAATGTGGCAGCATACACGTTTCCTACAAACAATAACAATGAGCAGCGAACTTAATTAAAATTAATTCGACCAGTAGATTACTCCGAATGTAATTGCGCGGCACTGAAATATTTGCTGAGATAATAACCTTATTCATGTTGACTAGTCGAAATATAATCTATACCACACATGTTCACTGGCCATATTCGGTCCTCACCGAATTAATGTCATTCGTTTCTTTCTCGCATTGAATAAAAATAACCCTTAGTGTGTGTGTGTGTGTGTATATATATATATATATATATATAGAGAGAGAGAGAGAGAGAGAGAGAGAGAGAGAGAGAGAGAGAGAGGAAGGTAGTCGATCATTCCAGGTGAGAGTGTTCGATACTAAACGATGAGTTTGTAGAGCAGATTTACATACGTGGACAGAGAAATT